ACTGCAGACGTCTGTATAAAGTGGTTGTACGAGTTCTGCTCGCTCGCCTTTAGGGTGTTGCTTTAAAACGAGATGTCAAGGCCAGGGCCTCTGAAGGGCCTGATCTGTAGGGAAAACGGCCTGGGACGGGTGTCATTGGATGTCCCGTGCCCGGTGCTTCAAAGCCAAACGTGGTCTTCCGAAGGGAAAGACCTGTCCCCTGCTGCTTACAGACACAAGAAGAAGGTTATGGTTACAGGGGAGAGAGGTGGGGAGTGGAATCGTGGTCTAAGAGACCGGGAAAGTAGCTGTAAAGGCAGAAGCTTCCAGCCCTGTCCAACAGCATTCCAGTCTGCCCTGTCCACCTTTGAAATGTGGCTGGGGAAACTGAAGAAATGAAATTTTAATTTTACTTATTTTGCACTAATGTATGTAGCTGGCCATCTCTCTTAAAATAGGAAACGCAAAAACAAAAATAATATCTTAAACTGCTTCATCTGTTCCCCACTGAGTGAGGTGGTTTATTGTGCCAAACTGGCCAATAAACACATGTGGGGTTAATTGAAGGGCAGAGGGATAAATGGCTCAGTGAGCCTCGCCTTTCAAGTTCTCCGGTGTCTTGCTTTGTGATGGTAGGATCAGGGTGCAGTTGCCTTGGCCAGTTCCCTGCTTCAGCTTGCAAGGTTCACTCCTGCAAGACATCCCTGAGGAGAAGCCACATGGACCTACCCCAATGCAGCGCTGGGTGCTGGAGCAGCCGCGTGGAGACTCCTGCCAGCGCTGAGATGCTTACACGTTCACTGATTCAGCTTTCCTCCTGCAGCTGGCATCATTGCCTCTGTTTTGTGAGGTGGAGGACTTTGTGGATTGGTGTTGAACACATGGGCTAAAGTTGGACTTGTTGGCTTGGGTAGCACTGGGTTGGGATGTTTTCTTGATGTGCACTTAACCTTTATAGAAAACTCTCTCTTATACATGAATTTCTGTGGATTTGTTTCTCTAATGTACCCAGACTAATACACCCACTTACATGCTCAAATTTCTCTGTGAGAAAAAGAAAATTGAATGGGAAACATTTTTTTAATTAAAAGATCGTTTTATTGGGGGCTCTTACAACTCATTACAATCCATACATCAATTATATCAGGCATATTTATACATATGTTGCCATCATTGTTTTCTAGACATTTACTTTCTATTGAGCCCTTGGTATGAGGTCCTCATTTTTTCCTCCCTCCCCTCATCATGACCTCTTCATAGATTAAGTTATTATTATTTTCATATCTTACACCCACCACTGTCTCCCTTCCCCCCTGGTTTCGGTGGTATATGGAGGGGGGTATGTGGTTATGGGTGATCATTGTGATCGGTTCTCCCTTTCTCCCCTGCTCTACCCCCCTTCTATTCCCACTCCTGTTCCTGGATTCCGTGTGTCATGAGCATTTATCTCTTACCTATCCCTGTGTAACATGCAGTGAGAAGCAGCACTGGGGTCATGATGGTGGGGGTGAGGAAGCCTCAAGGAACCAGAGGAGTATTGTGTGTTTCATCGATGCTTTACTGCCCCCTGGTTGGCTCATCCCTTCCCTGTGACCCCTCTGTGGGGGGATGCCCCATTGTCTACACATGGGCTTTGGGTCTCTGTTCCCACCCACCTTGTTCTCAGGGAAACAACATTTTTATGAACACCAGAGGCTTGGGGCAAAAGTGGAGTTTACAATTCACTTCTCTTAGCACATATTTATTTAGCAAAATGCTGAGCACAGGGCTCCAGAGACAGAAATTATGTCAGCTGTCTCAGAAAATATTTAGCTCAGAATTTCAACATCATAATAGTACTAAGTTCAAAAAAATGTTGGAAGGTAGAAACTGAGGTTTGTAGGACCATGGAGGAAATAACTTCCTGGAGAAGCGATATCTAAGAGCTAATCTTGAGAACTGGTCAGGGAAATGCAAGGGGAAGTTTGCCAAGGTGAAGGACAGAGGTTGGGCAGTGGAAGCATTGACCACAAGTCCAAATGACCACATTTTGTAATGAGTGAGGGGATGTTGAAATGTATTGTAATGAATGATTTATAAATTATCAAGGGTCCGTGACGGAGGGGGGAGCGGGGAGGGAGGGGAAAAAATGAGGACCTGATGCCAGGGGCTTAGGTAGAGAGCAAATATTTTGAGAATGATGAGGGCAATGAATGTACAAATGTGCTTTACACAATTGATGTATGTATGGATTGTGATAGGAGTTGTATGAGCGCCTAATAAAATGATTAAAAAAGAAAGAGAAAGAAATGTATTGTAATGTGGAATGTGATACTAAGGGGCTTGTGGGCATGGAGGAGAAAGGTCATCCTGATCCTGGGAAGACGGTGGGAAGTGGCCAGGGAAGCCTTTGCTTCAGTGAGGTGAGGTCTGCACTCTTTATCCCACAGGAACCGAGGAGTCCCAGAAGCGTGTGAAACTATAGCCTGGCCCCTGTGCCAGCTACGTCAATCCCCCTCCCCAGAAGGGGATTGTCCTACAGAGGACAGCACTGAAGATACAACCCGGGGCAAGTGGCAGGTCTTCCCAGGCAAACAGAGAGAGAGAGAGAGAGAGAGAGAGAGAGAGAACCATCCAGGCCCACCAAGCACCAGAGACACAGTGCAGGAATTGTGCCCCGTGTGGACGCCCCCCCCCACACACACACACCAGGGTGTAACACGAAGGAAGCACAGCAGAGCAGCAAGGGGAGCAAAGCAACAAAGTCCCGGAGGAATCCTGAAAACGGACTTCGGACTGGGCGCGTGGTGGTGAGGGCCGGCCTTGGCATTACATCAGACCCAATAGGAAAACATTCATAAGGTTCAGCAGACAAACCTGGAACTATTCATAGGCTATTTTTTTTCTTTTCTTTTTTTGGTCATGTCTATCTATATAAAATAGGTAAGATAAACAATCCTGAGAAGAAAACAAGTTCAAAAAACATGCATACAAATTTTTATGAATGGGATATAGTGGAGACCCAAAGCCCACCAGCAAGACCAGTAGTCTCTCTTAGTAGGGCCTCACAGAATGGAGGATAAATCCAGGGTGCAGTGTGGCACTGATAAATTACATACCTATCGTCTAGTTCTTTAAGATTTCCTCCCCTTACTATTATGGTCCATGCATATACCTCATTGGTCATGCTAGACCTGTGTAAGTTCATTTGTTCATTTAAGCTCGCTGGATACATGGTAGTTGTGTTAGCCTGGGTTGACTAGAGAAACAAAATTCATAGACACTCATATGTGGGATGCAAATGGGTTTCTCCCCAGGTTGTCTCCCCAAATATATGCCAAACCTAAGAGGCTGCTTGCTACACATGGTAAATGACTGTACACTTGGAGGTCAATTAGAGGTTATTCTCCCCGAATGTTTTCAACCATCTAGAGCAGGGCTGTCAAACTGGTAGCTCACCGGCCGCATGAGGCCTGTGAGGTAATTTTTTGTGGCCCACGATGCACTGAAATAAAATGAAAATAGAAAAAATTATTATGAAGAAAATAGCGCTCAGGGGAGATCGAGGCAAGGCCTTACACGCAATTCCCTCATTAACCCTTTAACTACTGAAGGTGGGTATACACATGTCCCAGTGCCTTTCCTGGGGGCCTGTGCACGCGTGTGAACACGCTGACTCAGTTCCGGCGACATTTGGAAGCGATAAGTCTGCCACTCTCAGTGTCATGTAATGTAAACAGGTCCCAATAGCGACAAGGTTAAAAAAAGCACTCTGGGTTGTGCTGTTATGAATCACACCTAGCGGCAGTGCTAGTTAACATTTTCAGAGGGAAGCCATTACGATTGTGCATCACGTTTGTCAGCTGTCCAACGTTTTGTGTTTTTTATTAGTTACTTTGTTATATTTTCCCTTCACAACATAAGCGGTAAGTGAAAACTAGTAGGAAAAAAGTGCTGGCAAGTTCTGGGTAAAAAAAAATTTTAGTTTTATAAATACATTAAATAAAATAAATGTTTAAATAAAAGCAATTATATAGTGTTTTAATTATCCTATCCATATTCTTTATTCCTTACTTCAAAATATAACTAACAAAATTTGTAAATGTGATGCTGTTAGGTGGCTAGCATAGGGACTGGGGCGTCCATTATGCATGCTCAGAGGTTCAAGCTTCTGGCCAGGAACTGGTGGTACACCTAGACGGGTGTTACACCTAGATTGGCCCATCTAAGCCTGGTGAATTTGATTCAGCCAATGGGGTTGACCAGTATTGTCGACCACGCCTCCCAACAGGGCCCATGAAAAGGCAGAGGTTTTGAAATGGCCCTCTCTCTTTCCCAGCGGCTGCTACACGGTGTAGCACAGCCCTGCTGCCGTCCCACAACCCTGCCACTGGCTCCGTCTGTCTTGTGTTCCATTTACCGTAAGAGAATAGGAGACTGCTTCTATTCTCTATAAACCCGCTTGGATCACTAACCAGGCTTCAGCATGAATTCTTTCTCGTGCGGAGCCAACGACTGAGGTATATTTCTCCACCGAGAGATCTAACAATGTGGCCCGTGTGAATCTTGCCTGTTGCACTAAATGGCCAGAGTTTTAACTGAGTTTGACACCCCCATCTAGAGCAATCAGACTGTATAGTCTGTCCCACCCTAAGTAGGGCCCACTCCCTTCTGATAAGGACAGTAGATTGCCTCCCTGAAGGAGAGCCCAGAGGTGAGG